AAGTAACAGTTTATCGTTCGTCGTATGCATTTAATGGATATATGCGCAAGGGATATATACGATGATGAAATAGTATCGCATATCACATGGCAGAATACAGGCGTGATCTTAATCCGATTTTTATGACGGCTAATTCGGGAAAGAAACCGTCACACTTTGATCTTGTTAAATTGATCTCGTTAAATTGCTTGATTTACGACGGACCACACAAAGTTGGAAACTGCGCGAGTCGCGCTTCTGGATGACACCGCGATGGGTGGTGCACGAAAAAAAAAGGAAACGGTGGGACTAACATTTATGGGATCAGGCAATAAAAATCGGTGTTTATTGCCACTAACCACCAGACGTATGTAAAAAGCGTGTCATGCAATGTATTTCTACGAAAATCTATACTTTGTACAGTTAGGGTTTATTATTAACTTATTGGACAGCTTCCGGTGACTATATTGACATTGTGATCTTCCACTTTTTATTATTACTTAGAAAGTACTGTTATTATTTATTAAATAATGGCGATATTTCGTGTGGAGATATATTCAAGTATTCGAAACGAATCTAATTAATGCATAACTAGAAAAATTATGGAACGGTAAAATACAAATGATAAAAATTAATGGATTTCTAAATAAATGTATATAAATCACATTTCGCATTCGATTTATTATTTGATTAATTTTGTAATCTTAATTCATTAAACTTATAATGACTTCATGAGAACGCACAAACAGAACTAATATTAATTGCAAGTTAATGTTTTAAAATTTTAATTATATTAAATAACTCTGCTTATATTTTTGTTTCACGTATAAATCAAATTGTTATGATTTTTTTGTTGAATTTTATTTATTTGTTAGAAACCTATAGTTTACGGAAACAATATTTTTATTAGTGAACAATATCCGTAATCCCTATGAAACCCGTAACAATATTTACAAATCTGCAATTTTAATTTAAGCGATTTTACGCACGGCAAAGAGAATATTGAAACATACATATATGTATATACAATCAAACCAAGTATCGAACAGTATCGAGCCCATGTGTCATATAGCTTTATTGGCCTGATAAATCTGACGTAAATTATGAGATGCATAAAGTTTACAGTGCCGATAGCTGTCAGTTCGACGAAGAAACGTTTGTGCAACTTGCCCTCGCGGTGACGGCATAAGACACAAAACGCTGCAGCCGCAACAATGTTGCGGAGATGGCATGCGGCTCGTTAGGCACTCCGCGCGCAGGAACGGTAAAGGAAACCGTCGTCGTCATCGTCGGCGAAAATCTACGCGTGCAACAGATGGACGTTGGAACGTAACAAACGACCGCGATAACACGACGTCACGTTAAGGGCTGCGTGGCGCTGTTGGGAATGGGAACCATTTCGAGATCGTCGCTAAGATTTCGGAAGCGCTTAAGAGAGCCGTAGACATGCGACCGTCCAATGCGGTAATTCATTCTGGATTTATCACCCTTCGGCCGGGGAACACTCGGTGAAACGCATCACGCGATGGCGCCTTCGGTTGTTATGCACATGCACGATGCGAGATTTTGTTACGCGTATTTTCTGATATGTTCCATTTTTTTTAAATATAATCTGTCTCATCAAGAACAGTCGATGTATGTGTTTTGTATACAGTATTATTTAAAATCAGTTGTACAATCAGTTGTAGATTCGAGTTGTAGTCACACCACGATAAGAAACACTTGCGGCATGACTGCAACTTGAATCTACATCTGAATATATACAACTGATTTTTATAATAATACTGTATATAAAATACATACATCGTGTAGTAAAGATATAATTTTATACAAGTGTAGTATTTATATCGATATATAAACAATTAATTTTACTGAGAAGCGATATTATGCTGATTTCGCTTGCTGCGATTATTTTCTCATTTTTGTTATCTTTAATATCAGCGCGGGAAGGAATAATTAGCGATCGTATTCAAGCGACAGAGTCGTGAATCTTTCTATGCATAACGAAGCTTAGCTGTTTGCAGAAAATGTGTTCTTCATTAAGATAACGTTTAAAATCAACAGGGACATTGCAGTCACTTTGACTGACGTGGTCGCCAATCATTCCGCGCCGTACTGACCCTTAACCCACGCTGCACAAAACTGGTCCGGTAACTGGTTGGCGCATATAAATGCCTCGGTCGATGAGACGAGAAGTTTTACGCGGAAAAACTATGGGATTTCTTGTCGTAAATCATTTGCGCGCGCCGTAAATCCCCAGCGAATCTTATCGCCACAAGATAATAAGCTCTCGTGACAATTTCGCTTCTATGTTTGTCAAAACGTCCGTCCGGTGTGTGTATGTCACAAAGTGGAGAAAGAGCGAAAGAGAAGGAAACTTATCGGCGTCTACCGATGCGCGAAACGAACTTGTCAGGGCAACAGTCGAACCAGTATTCCCACACGCGAATGTCCCCCGAACCGCGTGAACCCCCCGTCGCGCGACGCGTTTCGCGAGATTTTTCGCGAGTTAAAGAACACTGCAGCGTGCACTTACAAGCGATTTACGCGCTTGTACTAAACTTCAGGACGTCATTATGCATTAGGCTGGAGTATTCTACTTATAGAAGTATAGGATATAATATACTAGTAGTAAGAAATAGTTGAGGAGATTTGAGAGATAGTCTGAGTTTCCATAATGAAGCACACCATAATTTCGTTACAATCTTATAACATATAACGTGTATCGAAAAAGATTTTCTGGTACATGGAGTTATTTCATTAAATTGTTATCTATGGTTGTGTTGTAATCTAAAACGTTGTAATCTGTACAAAATTTAAATTAAGATTTCCTCCAAATTTTTTGATATTATATAAAAATTAACAGATACACAAGTAATACCGACGAACTGCTTCTTTATTATTTCAGTGTGGAAACAACTCTCATGGAATTATTGTTAACAACGTGTCAGTCAAAATGCAAGTTTATTAAACGAGCGTATATGCATATGGTAAAAGTGATGGCATCATGCAAGCCGTTCGAATAGCCGAAACATTCGCGATAGGCGATCACCTGCTGCGCTAATCCTTCTAATCCTTTCCCTCTTGTATGTACATTCGTCCTTACTGGCACACTCTTGCGGATTCTCGGCATCCAGCCTTGGCTTTCCTCAAGAGCACCTGCCATTGGAGAATGTTTGAAGAAACCTTATTTAGAGTTAGAGGTTCTTATTTAGCCGGGAGAGAGAATCACAAGGCTCGAATGCTCTACTTCCGCGTTTGCCTTTTTATAATTCACATTATATTAAATTAAGTATTATATTACAGTCCAAAGTAAAAATATTGTTTCAAATCTTGTATCTCTTGTGCAATTTTTTGTTCGATTTCTTCTTCGACTTTTTGCGACTCTTTCAGAGAATTAGACTCACTATGTATCGCACATTTATCTTCCAGATAAAATCTTCAACATATTTTTTTCAAATATTTCACATTTAATTTATCATTTTACATCTCACACAGATGGATTGTCATAAGAGATCGCAAATACCACGCGCGTGTACAAAGTAACATGTTATACGCATAAACAAGATACGAACAAAGACTTCGCTAAACCGTTGGAGCGTATTTAACGCTGCATGCGCGCTGAGAAAACGGGTCGGGAAACTATGCGGATTAATATTGCGAGTTAATATTTAACGGCGGCGAATTTGCGCGTGCAAGTCCTTTGTGCAGTCACTCCGAGCGGAGATACTTAACTCGGCGATAGATCGCGTACCTCGTGCCCGTGCTCGTTGCCTCTCTTGAGCAAGAAATGTACATGTACGTGGTGGACAGGGACCACCGTGTCCTCGGTATCCGCTCTGTTGCGACAGTAAAATGTTCCGTCGCGTTTCAGCAAACATCGACAACGACGTGGCGAGAGATGCAGTTTTCTATGGCCTGACGATGACGAAGTGGTTCTGTCGAAGCGAGTGCGTGCGTTCGTTTCGACGCCCAATTATATGTATATAAGACCGCCGCCGTGCAGTTTCCCTCATGAATCGTCGAGAGCCTTCCGCGTACACGTCGTCGCGATATACTTCTGCTAAATGATTTAGCAGATATTATCAAGATTTAATCTCGCTGTCCCCGGCAGTCATAGAATGGCGTATTACTCGTCGTTTTGCTTCCAAAATACTGGTCCTTAATCAGTAATGCAATCTTTCGCGTGTATACCGAGCCCCGGTACGTCGCGTAAGCTTAATTCCGCAGCCCGCAGAGCTCTCGAGCAAACGACAAGCCGCAATATCGTCGCCAACGCAGACACTTATTTCGACCGTATATTCGATCAGCCTTCGTGTTTTACGATTTAACCGGTCTTCTGCGTTACTTTACGATTCAAATGACTGCGCTTTAGCGATCAGTTTGGCTGCGGGAAGGGACGGGATATCGTTTACGATGGCTATCGAAATAATCGACTTGCCGATTTAATTTCGTCGTCGCATATATGTTGCAATGTAACGAGATGCAAAGCTGCAATCGAGACGCGGGATTCAAAGAAAGGATTATTTGAGAATTCATGAAGGATTTTTTTCATCGATATTATCTCCGTAATAATGTCCTTTATATGCATCCAGTTTACTTTCAAATATAACGATATTGAAATGTATTTATATATTAACTAAAATGTTATAATATAATTAATATTATTGTTTATTTTAAACAAAAATATAATGTATGTATAATAATATGAATGAATGAATTTTGTTTAAATCAATCCCAAATAGCTCAAAAATATCCTTTAAAATCTTTTCTTAGAAAAATCAAAAATTATTTACAGCATATGCATATGTATAGTATAATTTTACTTTCTTCTGACAGACAATAAGCATTTTTATTATAAATTTAAACGATTTTTATTTAATTTTCAATTATTCTAAATTTATATTATGAGCTATAATCAGCATACAAGATCAATTTTTAAGCCACAAAGTACATTAAAAGATTAATCTGCAAAAAGTTATTTTGTTTCTTGAATTAAAAATTAATAATTTGCATTTCAGGAGGCGAGTATGTACTAGACAAGCTCCTATGATTTCTCATCATCATCGAGGAAGACAAATTAGGTATGTTATATATCTTGCACGTTAAATTTAGAAGTTTTTTTAATTATTTACATTAAATAAATTATTTTTTCTTAGAATAAATGCTATCTAAAAAAGATAGATAAAAATATTTATTTGTAGATCTATAATTATTAATAATAGCATTTCTTATAGCATGCGATATTTTGTATAAGGAATTTATGAAATATTCTAGATTAGTATACACTGAGATGGCTTCCAGTTTCTTGTGCTGCCCAGGGTGGTCACAAGTTACTCACTTGAGTTTTGGTTGTAATAAACGTAAGTAAATTCGACACACAGTTTAATTTTCAATCTTTTATAATAAATCTAAATATAACTATAATTATAATTGGAATAATTATAATTAGAACAAATTTTACAGAAATAAGTTATATAATTTTATTAATGCAATACTTAATATCATTTGAAGTATTAAAAAATAATTTAAAAAAATTGAGTTAAATTATTAATAAAAAAAAATACATGGACGGTACCAACACATATTCTACTTGTATATCCTTCTTATTGATTCAACTGTGTGTTTTTCTCAAGTATACGAATCCATAAATCTCAATCCCATTGTTTTCTAGCCTCGTGCTCAGCACCATGTTTAAATGGTGGAATTTGTACATCGCCTGGCAAATGCACATGTCCCAAAGGATACACTGGCAACCAATGCCAAACAGGTAACATTGATTTTATTTACAAATTATATCCAGATCGCGTACAGTCTATTATTATTATTATTATTATTAAAACAGAATTTTCTTATGTTATTAAAATTCTGAGAAAATTATATAATTTATAAATTAGTATTATTTGGAAGATATGTTTATAGATGTCTTTTTTATCATATAATGTCTTCTAAATAATATACTGTATAATATATATACATGATCCAGATACATTTAAAGCAGTAATAAAATAAATAGCATCGTTTTGAATAGTAAATCTCATTAAAAAAATTTTTAAATAAAATTTTCATTTAATTTTAATATATCAATTTATCTCAAATGAAATACGATAATATACGTATTTGTATGGCTAGAGAAATGCTAACATTAAGTAAAGACAAGAAAAAATTGGAGTGATAAAGCTATGATATACGTTTTAAATAAGTCGTTTTTTTGTTGTAATCATGATCCCAATCTTAATAATAAATAGCTCACATAAAATATACAAGAGAGTGGTGATCAGAACATCCGTGCAAGAGAATCGCTCGTAAATCTATCGAGAGCGTGTAACGCGGTTGCAACCGACCGATGCAGCAGGACATGCAGGACACCGCAATACGTATTGTGCTGCAGTTAGCTTGGCGCTCGTAGTGGTATCGAGAAGTATATCGTTTCACGTCGATTTAATTACGTCTGACGATACCAGGCACGAGAAGGCACTCGTAACCAAGCAATCGATTAAATGTTCTTCATGCTTTAATGAGGCTCATAAAATAACAACGCTCGTATGCCGTTAAGAGCGATTGTGTTTAATTACGTACTATTATCTAGCAATTTAGTAAAACTACAATTTTAATGAAGCGATCAGAAAAGATGTGTAAAAATATCTAAGTTAGAAAAAGATCGTGCAAAAGAAAATGCAATTTTTTTATAAATATTGAACTTTCTCAAAATATTTAACATTTTTCAAACTATTTAATATAATTATCTGTCTTTTTGAGATTGCAATATAATTACGTGCTACAAGTGTAACAAGATTTCAGTATCTTTTTTGTGTCGTATATAAAAATTAACTAAACAATATAATTTTGTAAACTACATTTATATCCCTGAAATTCATTTTATCTTTACTTTCAACTTTTCTAATTTTCCTTTTTAATAAAAAAAATCAGTGTCTTTGTTTTCTAATAAAATAATATATTGATTTTTTGTAAAAATAAACTAAATATTATCTTTTTTTTTCCGTGCAGATATAGATGAATGCGTGATAGAAAAACCGTGCGGGCAACTTTGCACAAATCTACCTGGTAGATACCGATGTCACTGTAGAGTCGGATTTCAACTTCAAGAGGATGGCCAATCTTGCCGAAGAAATGGTAGGTTTGCAAAATTTAGAACCTAAGACACAATTTTTCGGAAAATAGCTTAAAGAGATTTATTTAATACAGGCACCGACGAAAATGCTTTTGAAGCACGCGATTTGGAGACCGATGATGTGCCGACAACAAAGGATCCGACGACTTTCCACGGTATGTATGATTCAATATTAAAATATTCTATTTTTATTTTAAAAATATAAATTCTCTAATATTTTCGAAAATATTTAAATCTATAAGCAATATTCCAGAAGTTGCACGGAAGTTTTAATTATTTTGTTTTAGAATTATTTAAAATATAAAATTTGGGACTGTTGCACTATTTTTCGCAATTAATTAAAAATAAAACGTTCGCGCAATATTAGAGAAAACATATACAATTCGCACTAGTAAACTAAAAAATTTATAAAAAATAATTGATCAATATATAAAATAATGGACTCAGTATCGTTAAATGCAGATACAGAAAATGAGGTGAGCGATGATGATCAAGACTATGAGGTCATTTTAAAGAGACTGATCAAACTGGAAAAGGTAGGTTAAAAATGACTATTAATACGGTATGTATAGTTGATGAGGAAATATATTAATTCTTCAGCAAGTAGCCAGAAACAGAAAGAGAGATACAGAGGCTTCCGAGATGAACACCAAAGTTACATTGGCGGTCGAAAGTGTTAACGAGATGAAGAGAACCGTCGAAAATGTGGTATTTAAGGAACATCAAGATATCATACATTTAAATCTCAATATAGTGCACGGCAAAAATTCTTGCACACAAATAACTTTTTTTATCCATTAAAAATTCAATCCATTAAAAAAATATGTAAGAATATCTATATTTATTTATTTTTTTTCAGATCTTGTTTTACCACTAATCTAAAAAATAATAGTTAAAATTTTCATTAAAAATTATTTCTTTCTTATTATATATCTGTTATTCAGTAATATAAATTTTATGTTTAAAATAATAAAAGAAAGTAAATTTTCAGCATTAAAAATGCATAATATTCTGAAATATTCTGTAATCTATTACAATTTTTGTGTGTCCATTCTTTTTTTAATTAATCAATCTGTTTCGTAATGAAAGATTTTTTCAATTTTCCATCTCGAAAGAAAGAAATTGAATGTTATGATCCGATAGTACGATACAACTACAGTTTATCTTGTTTATTTCTTATCTCGAATTGCACTATATCGAGATCTAAGTATATTGGTAAAACGTGGGTACATACATTATTTATGGATTGTGCAATTATTTGTTTTAGCAACTGATGCAACAAGAAGTATACGATATGAGAAGCAAGATGAGGCAATATGAGACAGAAATGAGAAAGATACATCATCTGATGAATCGCGTCGCTGAATTAGAAAATCGTCTGAGAATACGTTGCAGATACCAATAAATCGTGGGTCATTCAACTGTTAGCATAGCTAAAGCATCCTACCGAAATTATCAATATAACTTGATACTAATATCGAATAGTAGTAATACTAATCTATTTTATTTGATGTTAATAGTAGTGTTACTACTATTTTACTTAACAATTATGGATAACGATAATATTTTTTATCACGAACTTCTTGCGTTCTCGGAATACATGGAAACAACTAATATATATCTTTGAATCAGAGATATGTTTATACAGAAGAAAATGCTGTACATTTAGAATATTTATTTTTGATTTTCTAACTACACAAAGCGATATTGATCCGTTTAGTCTCAAGGTGCTGAAGTAGTAGTAGCTGTAAGACGCGGAATTATTTCCGTCGTGAAATATCACTGCCATCATTTAGCATTTGTAATATTTTTTCAAGCTAATAATAGTAATAGTATAATTTAAATATTATAACTGAGTATCAGGATAGAATTAAATATCATAGTTATTTGTGTGTACTCAGCTTTATAATATAAAAATAAAATTAAAGTGGATTCTGTATTTTTGTGTTTTCCTTTTGCATTAAAGTTTAATAAAAGTGAAATTAGTAATGTATTGCATAATATTAAAATACTATAACATTATGACAATTATTACCAATTAATCATTTATAAAAAAATTTTCTTCAACAGATACTATAAAGATATTATAAACCTTATAACTTCATTAATGATAAATATTTGGTAAAAGAGAATTTGAGTGATCAAAATTAGCACTAAATTAGTAGTGAATAAACATGTATTGAAGATAATTTTATTAAAAAGATATTTGCGCTTCTCTCCTTCATCTATCTAGCCTGATTGTTCAGAATTTTCTAGAAATAAGGTACTCTTTCTTTCATTTCTATTCTTAGAAAAAAGAAAAGGCATTTATTCCTAATACTTAAAAATTAAGTACTACCGAAATTAATGAGTTTGCGAAAATTTTTATTTTAACTTTAAAATTTAATTTATAATTAATTATGTTTTTTTCTTATCTTTCTTCTGTCGTCTAGTGAGCCTCTTGCCTGTCTTCTGGTTCGCTTTCTGCGTTTTTGCCCTGCCCTTCTTGTGCTTCATTATCTTCCTGTGGCTCATCCACACGGGATAATTGCCATACTGGTCCAGCAATGTTTTCTTACTGTATACTCTAGCACCGTCCACCTCCATCTGTCCACTTTCATCACCTTCCTCAGTCTTAGCTCGTTTAGCCTTCACGTCTCCTTTCACTTTCTCAGCGTCGACAACTATCGATTTTAGAAATAATATAATACAGAACATCGTCATGTTACATTGTAAGGTATACGATGTTAAAACATTAATACGAATTTAGTTGAATAACCATATAATGCGTGGATCTTACCTGTAGCGATCTCGGCGATATTCGTCATTTCAACATCCTTGGACGCATTATCGTCAATACCAAGAGTTTTCTTCAATCTATCTAATTCCTTTACCGCGTAACGCTCCCTCTTGACCGCTCTGCATTTTCTTTTCCACTTACTACGCAGAGACTTGGCCATTTCTCACAATTCTCACACGTGCGTCGCGCACACACAGAAAGAGGTTATGTTTTATGGATGTACCGCCACTGCCGTGAGTGCTCACTGCTCCCTCCCTCAGGTGGCACGTGCACGTTGAATTACGTAGTCACGGATATTTCAAACGGATAACATTCTCTCAAGATTTAATTTGTTAATTAAATTTAAGAATCATTAAATACAATTAAACGTGATATAATAAATGGTTATTAAATATTTAGATCTCACGAAATTTTTAAATATTTTAATAATTTTCCATAAAATTTGAAATATCGCACAAAATATGTTTTCACTCTGATACTCTGTTCTCCCCTCAATACCTTCACTAGCAAAATATCGAAAAAATTCAATTTACGTAAAAAGATTTTATACTTATTTGAAAAAGTTTTGGCATTTTGCAAATACATCAGTGGATCTTTCGAAAAAATACAGGAAAATAGAACTCATAAAATCAAGGTAGATTTTTCTATCACTTTTTTCTATTCCGTAGCAAAATAATTATAGTCTAATTGTTAAAATCACTTTGTATATGTATAATGGACATATGCACATGTATAAAGTATACAAATGGACCCATTTTCTTAAACAATTAATATTAAACAAACGTAATATACATAATAAGATATAAATATGTTAATGTTTTACTTTCCGTTTATAAATTGCATTTTAAATAATTCAATGTATATAAAAATAATGAAATTATTTTACATTATTTTTCGATTTATTGTAATATTTTTGCATATTTATATACTCGATTTTTACTCACTTTTCTATATAATCTCTATAATAACATTAATTTATTTTTATTTTCCTAAATATTAATTGTCCGCACAGTAAATGAATATTCATCATAATATGTTTGCATCCTATATCTTATATATTTCTTAATATTATATTAATATGTATTAATTTATGCTGTAGATGATACAGCTAATTTCTTCAAATGTTCCATAAATACTTGCAAGCTGACATCGTCCGTCAGAACAGGGGCACCACTCTCCTAAATAAAACAAATCAAATGACATAATTATTTTTCGCTAAATTATGGACACATTTATAATTACACAATTTTTCGTTGTTGACTAAGAAAAAATAATTAATAGACATATTTAATCTAATATTTCAATTAGATTACATTACAAAAAATATTTTAATTTCTAAAGAGGACAAAACAGGAAAAAAAATAAAAGAGATAAAAAGAAAAAAAACTTATAAAAGAAGAGGAAATAGAAAAAGAGAACAAACTTTTATGAAGTATCCAGAAATATTTTCTTACTTAACATTCTGCATGATTGCAACTAAAATTATTTTAAAACTATTTCTAAAATTTTTCAATTAAAAAAAATTTGGAAACATTAGCCAAAAAAGCTTTATTACAGATTTACTGAGAACTACTTTAAAAATTTTTTTACGAAATTATATCAGAAATTTCAGTATAATTTGAACAGAAACGTTTTAAGTTTAAAGTAAAAAAAAGTTTCTGTAAATTAAATTTTAAAATATAAATTTCAAAATTTGTTATTAAAAATAGAAATATTATTTTACAAGTATCTCCAAAGTCGACTAAAAATATTTTAAAGATACATAACAAAATACATAATACATATAATACATAATCTAAAATATCTTTCGGGTTTGTAAGTCTGGGACGTACACTGTACATTTTAAAAAAAATTTTCAAGCATATATTTTTGAATTTAATTCCCCATCACCAGATGTAAGCTTAAAATTACAATCATTTGGAACAAGCATGGAAAGTATTACAATATTATTTTATGTAATAACAACTAGAACCAACTACAACTGATAACTTTAGTATAATCAAAAAATCAACACGGTAAATTAAAGTGGTTTATGTAGTTAGTCTATTGTTATGCGCGCGCGCGTAAAAAATAGTCATACAAATATCTCGGTTCTATCGCCGGTTATTTATGATAATTGTTGTGTAGCACATTTGATTAGTTTTATGAATCCACCACATGTGTATAGGTTTATAAAAAAAGGTAAACTATAAATTAGAGAATTATATAGAAAACTTTTTAATATTTTGTTTCATTTTTAGAAAATAAGATCAAAAAAATATTAATATAAATAATTAAATTGTACAATAAAAAATAGTATTTGTATTTTTCGTCAATATCAATACTGTTAATCCAAAAAAATCCGATCACCAAAATTGCTAACAATAAGCACAAATAATAGAAAAAATAAATAAATAAAATAACACACCCCATTAGATATCGGCATCCCCTAGAGTTCACAGGAACACGGTAACATAAAAAAATAATATTAGTTACACACACAGTATGTAACTTTTACGTAAACATTTATATAAATTATTGTGTTACACTCAATGTCAGTTATAGTTTTTTAAATTTGAAATAAAAATTTTTATAGTAAAACTATTGAATAACATAAAATTTATTCACAATTGATGAATGTTTATTATTGAACTTTTTTATAAGTAAGCCTCAACTTGCAGTCCTATTAAAAAAATTGTCAGTACACATTTTAAATTTTTATTTTATAAAATAAAAATATCACATCTGTTTTCTTGTGTCATTTTTTTTAATAAAATTTTCTAAATATAAAGAAATGATAGATGTTATAAAAATGCCAAAAAAATTTAAACCAAATTTCAAACATATATCAAATTTTAAATGTACATAGTTAGAATTATAATTTTATTAAAATTTGACATTTCTCAAAAATTATAACATTCAAGATTCTGAATAGCAATGTAAATCTTTTAAAAATTTTATTATACATTTATGATTTTATAATTAAATAGAAAGAAAACAAAATCTTTATTTTAATGAAAAAAAATTACTTTTGTGTATTATATAAATCTTTTTTCACTTACACATATTAACATCTATAATTATGTACAAAAACACAAAACAGAATATTTTTACGAGTATCTATGCATGCGCGCACACCACACAATAAAAAACAGAATATTATTAATTTCATTAATTCATTATTTTTATCAATAAAAAAAATTGATCAAGATTAAAAAATTGATCAATAAAATTTTCTGATTATGTAAAAGATATTCTCTATTATAAATTTCTATTTAACCAAGAGATGTTTATCATATATTGTCATGATATAAATATCTGTCTTCATTATTTTCTATAATTTATGTACATACATATCACTGTCAAAATATTAAATATAAAATGTATATGTTAATATTGAATGTGTTTACTTACCGCACCATACGCATACATGTTATTGTGAGTCTGACTTGGGTTGACTTTACTTAATAAAAATCTAGCTTGGGAACCACCTTGTTCCGTATCAATATACCGAGGCGCAGGAAATCTAACAGCTAATGTATCAGCAGCATCATCAACAGGTGCTGCTAGTAATTGCCGGAAATTTTCATATTCTGGTAGATCTTGATATTTCAACTGTCGCCACTGTGCAATAGTCTAGAAAAACATAAATTTTAAAATATAAATATTTCGTTCTTTCACAAGTTTTATATACAGTTAAAATATGCACAACACGTGTGCAACAATTTTTTATAGCATGCATCTTTTATAAGGTATATAAACTTCATCAACTTTTTTAAATAAAATTATATTTTTTTTATAATATAATTTGGTCTATCAAGTCATTAACGAAAGATATTCGTATGTTTATTTTGATATATTTATAATAAATGAACTCATATAAATATTTTTCAATAATGAATTACTTTGATTGACTTCAATACATATAATAATGAAATTAATTGATTACGTAAAGAAAACGTTCAATTTAAATACAGAAAATGTATACTTTTTATATTATTCTCTAAAAACATTTATTATTTTAACTTCATTAATATATTTTACCTCTCCGTGGAATATAAGTATCTGGAAAAATGTATCCATCAACAGAATTCTATCAGCCTGAATAGACGAAGTATCTAACAATACAGCTTCTGGAGGGCCATTAAATCCATAACTGTATAAGACAGGTTGAACCATAACTAAAGAATCTGCTACATTTTCACGCATAAGCATATGCCTGGAAATTATAAAAAAAAATATGTCTATACACATCATAAATGTACATGTGTAGATAAACTACGATACAATTTTTTTGGTAATATTTCAATTATCAATATCATAAAAGTAAGGGACTATGTGTATTTCATTAAAATAAGAAATAAACTTACCTATAAAAGCTGGTTTCGTCTGGTGAATTATTGAATACTTGTAAGAATTGGGATCTGCGCAAGTGATACATAAATTGTGGATACATAGAAAAGTTTTGTGCCAATCTAAAGCTGTTTGGATCATCTTTTGCATACTCTCCAAACTTTTGACACTGTAAAAATAAAATATTATTTCTAATAAAATATATATATATATAAAATTACCATTCAACAATTTTTAACTTTACGCGATTTTTCACACAATTTTATTAAGAGAAATTACTAACAAGTCTAATCAGCATGCGATCGACCCATCTCAAAACGTCCGGACCATCGTCACTTTCTGCTCTGAATACAGCCAAACGCGACATGAGAACAGCCGCTGCTTCTTGATCAAATCCAGCGCTTATGTGATGCAGTGATGATGATGCATCTGCCCAACTGTAATTAAAAATATTTCCAAAATATTAAAAATCTATAAATTGTCGCGCGCGTAATATATATATATATATATATATATATTAAGAAATAGAAAGATATTTACTTTCTGGCGACGGTAGTAACTCTGATTCTCCTCTGTCCGCTGCTATGTTGATATTGAGTAATAAATTGAATGCAACCTCTTCCACCTTGCGGAATCGGAGCTGTATGTTGATTGACAACTTCAAAGAATAATGCTGTTGTTGTAGACGGCGTCAACGAGCAAAATTTCCACTGACAAGTACCACCTAAACCTACTTCTTGCTCCCCGACGCTAGATCCCTTCACTCCTAACGACACACAAGGTCCAATTGCTCCAGAAACTTTAATTTCACGAGAGGTTTTCACTTCTAGAGTGGCATTGAATGCCATTTTCAGCTCGCCCTTAGAATCCTTGTTAAATACTCGTTGGAAAGTTTGTTTGAACAAAGAAGAGTTGAATGAATCACCCATCACCATGTGACCGCCGGTAGAGTTGCAGCATTGGCGCATTTCTAGTAAACCAGTTTGATCAAGGGCACAAGAATAGATATCTATTATGTGGCCGTTGGTTGCGGCGCGTGACGCAAGCGCGTCGTAATGCTTGGTTGCCTTCTTCATATGTTTAGCGTTATCCTTCTGTATGTCATGATGCGATCTAATTGGCTGTCGCAAATCGTCAGTAACGACTTGGCCGGGTCCTTGGGAACACGGTCCACCAACAAATAACATAATCCTGCGACAGTTTTAGCTTCGATAGAATATTGTAATATTGATGACGACGTCAGGCAGTATTTATTATAATAACGTGTGAATACACACCTAGCACCAGTGTTTGCATAACTGGCTTCTAAAAGACCTGTGGCAACTGCCAGTGCCACACCTGTAGACCGTAAGGAGCGTTTTCCTGGTCCAACAGGCCAAGGATCGCGTTGCAACTCTCCCAAAAGGTCTGTCAAACTCATATCGCACTTGTGCACAGGTTGTAAGAAACGATTGGCAGGCGGTAACGGTTGTACACCTGGGCCTCTCGGCTGATTCGGATTTTGTCCTGGAATTGGCCTACCAATACCTATCAAAATACAAAATTAACGAAAACATATATGATAAAATCATGTATGTAGTTATGATAGAATGCAATAACTCGGAATAAATTAAAGCTTAGCTATTACCTAACATATCTTGAACTTGTTTCGGCTGAAGATCCTTCGTGCCACGGAATACATAACTTTTGCTACAACCGTCGCATCCCAATTCATGCACTTGAACCATTCGACCAAACGTGATGAGACCAATGAGAGCATTAGATGGAAGTAGAGATAATGACATTTGTAATGAATCTTTAAGTGCTCCTAATTCTTCATCATCCAGGCAAGTATCCACAACAAATAGAAATATGGGTGGTAGACATTGGGCACGCTAAACATAATATTATGTATATATGAGTTGGATAAAATTTAATTTTATCTACAATTCACTTTTACAGATAGACAATAAATAGATTATACGTATACACGAAAATTAAAATAAAACCAATAATCTTAGTAAAAATAAAAAGATTATGAGCATAAAGGTATGCTCAATATCTAATATTTTTCATATCTATTAAGGTAATTAAATTAAGATATTGAAGTTGAACTTGAATTTAGGAAGTTATCATAATATATCTTACAACAAAAGTAAATGTTTGAATTATCCCTACTTATATTTTTTACGGTTTTTTTAATAAATAAAACTAAGAGTTTTTATTCTCTATTTTATAATTTACTACCTACCATTATTGTATACTCGATTGTTGAAAACATTGGGATCAGTTCTGCAGGCTGATGTTGTTCTGAAATTGCAGCATACTGTGATGGAAACTGAAAAATATAAAAATATATATTCTATAGCTTATATATTATATAATTAAATTTGTGTTTTGCTGGCAAACATAACGTGACGGCAAAAATCGAGCAAAATTTACTGATCCTTTCTTTACAATCGTCTCTGACGCAGAACACATTAGATGACACGGCTGATGAAGTTTGATACGCGGTTAAAACAACTTAGCCTATGTTAAAGAGAAAAATAGGTTTCCCTTCTTACAGGATTTCTCTGGAAGCAAAAATTGCAGACCCATAGTTTTGCACGATAGTCCACTTGACACAACGGATTTAAAATAGCTCTGCAGGTAGATCTCGTACATAAAACTGGATCATATTGAATCGGCGGCAGATCCGGCCGTTCCTTGATCGGCTGGTACAAAGTACCCAACGGGACAACCAGCCTGGTGGCGTCGATACGTGACGAGGGCCATACGTTCCATGTGAATCGCACGCCGTCGCGATCCTCGTTTTGTTGAATAAAATCTTCATATGTCGTCATAATACTGTAAAGATACAGTTCGGTTTTCAGTGCAAGTAGTTCGTTCCTTTCGGCTATACTCTCAACAATCTCCTCTCCTCTTTTTCACACAATTGTCTACTTTTTGGTCCACAAAGGGATATAATAATGAAGTTTTGGAAATAACATAGGTCTAAAAAAATTAATTTGTTTTATGTAGAAGCTCGAGTTCACGAATTATTAAAAGAATACTTACGATTATCTTCATACAAAAAAACGTAAATTAGTTAGGGCTATTACTTTCACTTATATAACTTCCTCTTTGAGACACACTGTTAACAAGAAAATTACATAAATTTATATTAAAAAGTAACAATTCTCTCTCAAATATACTCGGGCCACGTCACTTAGAGGACCGAACGCATGCGTAGACATATTTTCCACATCACATAAAATCCATTGGCTGATGAGCGCAAGATAGGCTTGCTACGGCCTATGCAAACCGCGGTTTTTTGCCTATAACCTCGAAATGCCATTGTGCACTAACGTCATCTGAAGAAGTGGATGTAAACTACATAACAACATTCCACCTTTCTGCACCGCGGGTAAACAATTTGTGATACGTGTGCCTCTCTGCTTGCAGGCACGAGACACTGCCTTCCGGCTTCGTATAATATTCGTATACGAATATTATACGTATACGAATATTATACGACATACAATTTTAATTTATAATTCGTAAAGTCTACATTGTGAATACATGAATTCAAACTTTTATATTAATTTCGCAAAATGTTTTTTGTATCTCGATCATTAATTATGGCACAAAAGAGCGGTTAAAAACCATTTTAACATTTTATTTTGCGCTCAAGTAATTAACACGTAAAGTAAATTTTATTAGGTTGCTCACATGGGATAATATATAGGAATAACATATATCACGAAAAAGCATTTAAAAAGCGCAACTAAATCAGAATAGATTTAATTGTGAAATTGATGTTGAAATTCAGTACTCACGATATTGCGGCGTTCTCCAATCATGATTCGTTCGCCAGTCAAACATCTTCCGCTGCACTTATCCAATATCACAGTATTCGACATTGATTCAAGAGCATCTCTGCATCATTCCGCGTCGATTGCATGTCACTAATTTGTTTTACTCGCGAGTCGCGACAATATTCGCGAGATTGTAATTTGGACAAATTTCACAATTTAATTAATCGAGCAGTTATATTGAGCATTTATCGGAAATGTCATTCGCGAATTCGGTTAAAGAATTTTCTACGTCCATGGTATGTGATGACACTTGACACTCGCATACGCCTGACGAGAATCCACGATATCGATCCACAATGATAAACCCATTGTCCATTCATTTGATAATTTGCGAATTTATTTAAAAAATATTTATGTAACCAAATAAGTCCTTCTCTTTTGTCGTTAATAAGATACGCCTCAAGCGTGCGAACGATCATAATTCCCGCGAAGGTCGAATGCGTTTTCGTAACATCTGCAAGCGGCAAGATTCGGCATGATGGCGAGATATATTTACGCGAATTATTAATAATCATGCCAGTAAAATAATTAGACTGTCGAAACTCTGTGATATTTCAAACTCGATTTCGCAAAACTTTTTATTTCTGTCTTTAAATAATCGCGGTGACTGATATACGAAGAGCTAGAAACTACGCGAAAAGTATTCGTCGTTCAAAGAGCACATTTCGATGTATTATAATATTAAAAAGATCTATCAAGTATTATTTCGACTTGTTACAAGCCAAATGTAATAGTTCAATGTATAAAATTCAGAAGCACTATTAAATTCTTACCGTTTCCGCGGAAAGAGAAGTGAACGAGGCAACCTGCCGGTCTTCGATCCGGTGTAGCGACATTTTACTGTACGCTCTCACCTCTCGCCGAGGTCGCACATGACGATACTTTCGCTGAGACGAAACAATGTTTAACATTCTGAAATATAATATTTCTTAAATGAGACATCGCAACTCAATCTCATAGATTTCGACGCTTTATCTCTTCGGCACGTTTCCTTCATGATGTATAATAAGCGTCTTATCGATCATTCACTCCTCTCTGCGCGGAAACGGTAAGAATTTAATAGTGCTTCTAAATTTTATACATTGAACTATTACATTTGGCTTCTAACAAGTCCAAATAATACTTGATAGATCTTCTTAATATTACAATACATCGAAATGTGCTCTTTAAACGACGAATATTGTTCGCGTAGTTTCTAGCTCTTCGTATATCAGTTATCGCAATTATTTAAAGACAGAAATAAAAAGTTTTGCGAAATCGAGTTTGAAATATCACAGAGTTTCGACAGTCTAATTATTTTACTGGCATGATTATTAATAATTCGCGTAAATAGATCTCGCCATCATGCTGAATCTTGCCGCTTGCAGATGTTACGAAAACGCATTCGACCTTCGCGGGAATTTTGGTCGATCGCACGCCTGAGGCGTATCTTA